TCCTATGTATCTATATGGAAATATAAACTAAGTTCCATTAGGGTTGTACCTTACTTAACAAGAGGTAAGTGCGGTTCCGGAAGAAGGGAAACAGTGGCTAAAGGCGACTGATGCTGGTGGCACAAAGCACTGGCCAAGCTCTGCCAGACGGAGCATCCGTCCGCACTCCAGTTGGCTGAGGTAGGTACGTGGTGGGAGAGCGTGATCTCATTATATGCCTCAGGCACCAAAATGTCATGGGCTGGCCCTTTGTTTGAGGCCTGAAACCCCTGTTCATGTTCATGGCCCACCCTTTGGAAGACAGACAGGTTGGCCATTTTGAGATCATCCCTAGGCGTACAAGAAAGGTTTCCTGCAGGCTTAAATGCATTCCTAAGGTTAACTGGGAATGGGCCAAGGTTACTCAGGGGCTATTCTCCACCTCAGTCCTCTGGGCCCCTCTTTCCGAAGGCAGCCAAGCAAATGCAAAGTGTGGACAGTGCCTTTATAAAAAAAACCTGTTGTGCAGCTACACTGGGGAGGATTCTGTTCTGTTCTGACTGCCCTGCCAAAGGTGGGATCTGGCAGGGCTGGGAAGGGCTACAGAAGGAGGACCACCAAGATGATCTAAGGGGGTGGAGGCAACTCTCTTAAGGAAACGCTCACCATGTTTGGGGACATTTTAGCTTTTGGAAAGGGTGGCCAAGAAGCAACAGGTGTCTTTATTTCTGCAAGGTACGAAGTAAATGCATAGGGAGAACAGAACCCAGTGGGGTTCCGGGTTGCAGGAAAACAAGAAATTGTGTTTTATGATGCTTCACTGTCTACTGTTTCTGAGCACTGCTCAAAATGCTGGCTGTGAGTCATAAAATGGGTGCAAGGAGTTCCAGAGGACCCCATTTCGCCTCCAGCGGAGGTGTTTCCCTCCCCGTCACAGATGCTTTTATTTCACCAGGTGTTTCCCTCCCCGTCACAGATGCTTTTGGTGAGGACACAAGACAGGACCTTTTCAGTGGCTGCTTCTAGGCTGTGGAACTCTTTGCTACCAGAAACCAAGCTGGCTCCCTCCTGGTTCTCCTTCCGGTAGCTGGTAATGACCTTTCTCTTCAGGCAGAAAGAAGCCTCATGGAGCAATGATCAACTGGCAGGACTGCAGCCAAAACTCTGCTCACAATCTGGGTTCAATACCAGGTTCACTCAGCCCTCTATCCTTCCAAGGTTGGCGAACTGAGTACCCAGCCAATGTGTAGCCTGAATAATTAACTCATAAACCACCCAGAGAGTGCTAAGCAGCACACTGAGCTTCTTCTTTTTTGCAGGTCTTTAGCCATTGAACAGGCAACTCAGAAAGAAGCTTTTAATAGGGATGCTCAGCTTTTTTACCTTTGCTTCTCCCCACCCCCACCTCCGAGATATGAGAAGCTTCTGCTGCAAACTCAGAGGTTTATGAACAGTTAAAGAAACTTCTCTTCTCATGACAGACTGAGTGTAATGTCCGGTCCTGCCTTCATCAATACTGAACCTGGACACACTCTTATTGCACGGGGCTTGGGTGATGATGACTGCAACTACCCTGAGGTCTCATTTCCCTTTCCAGAAATGACCCGTTATGACAAGGTGCCTTGCAGAAGAGACATTGGCTCAGGATGCAATCATATTTTGACTGCAGAGGAGGAAGGTGCATGGAAAGAGAGAGTTGTGTCAACCTTGGGCTTTCCTTCCGGGAGGCCCTCTTGTCCGTCCTCTTGCAAAGAGTCAGCTGACTCTGAAGCAAAGCTCTGGAGATGCTGCAGAGGACACGAGGGACACTCTCATTTCTGTATCACCCCTCACAGCCGCCCACACTTCCTGATTTCTGGAATCAAACCCAGATCTCTTAGACGCACATGATGTGGCAAACATTTCATTAGAACAATGCATTCTTACTTCATTGTGGGTTTTTTTGGCCATGCACTGGTACCTTCGCTGGCATTTGACCCAACATATAAAAGGCTTTTATATTTTCACTTTATCGACGTCATCAGATTTGTTTGCATGTTTGCTGGCCTATGTTTTGGTCAGGCCCGCAATGCCATTAAATAAATTTTTAACACCAGGTAGGCGCAGATTGAAATGTGCAAAAACGATAATCACGTGACCTTTTGGTTGGCAGGAGAACACAGGCTGAATTTTGGAAATGTGATGGAGCATAAATGTCTGCTTTGTACAAGATAAAGCCGTTCTTATTCTGTGTTATAGAGTTAATGATGTGTGAGCAGAAATGACAAGAAATGAGAAGGAACTGGCCGGATAGCTCAGGGAATTAGCTATCTGCCTGCAGAGCCAAAGGCTGGGAATTCGATTCCCCACGGGGTCTCCTGCCAATTTCAGCCAGCCTGGGTGGCCTTGGGCCAGCTGCACAATCCCAGGGATGCCCCCAGAAGAAAGGTCGACTACTTCCGTGTATTCTCAAGCTAGAAAACCCCGAAAAAGGTCACCATAAGTCAAAATTAGATGGCTGGATAGCTTAGTGGTTTAGGTATCTGACTATGGAGCAAATGGTTGGGAGTTCGGTCCCCCTCTGTGCATACTTAGACGAACAACCAGCCTGGGTGGCCTTGGGCCAGCTGCACCATCCCAGGATGCCCACCAGAAGATAGGAATGTCAAACCACTTCTGAGTACTTTCTATCTGGAAAAACCTAAAAAGGGTCTCCATAAGTCAGAATTCAATTGACGGCACCTGATTATTAGTAGCATTATTCAAAAATGCCAAACACAGTCCATCAAAATTATAAAAGCATTGACTGGTGTTATGTAACAGATAAAAATTTTAACCTAAAACCTAAGTATCTGTTCAGTAGCTGTGCCGTATGCATGCCATTCCTAATACAATATTGTAATTTTTTTACAGCTCCGATGATGTTATTTCAGCGTATTCATGCCATTCCTAATACAGTATTGTAATCTTTTTTACAGCTCCGATGATGTTATTTCAGAAATCTGCAACTATTATTGTTATTGGTATTATTATAAACGACAGGGCAGAGAGGGAGAGAAAGAGAAAGACTTTCAGTCTTGGAGGTTTCCAAAACTCTTCCCACCCAGCCAGCCCCATCCTCACCTAAAAACTGGCTAGTGTGTTTTGAAGACCAATATGGACAGAAATGGGCAGGATGGTGAGTAAGTTCACGGAGGGATGAAGACAGAGATGAGAGCATTGATGATGAAACTGTTAAAAGGAGAAGGGACAGGAGGGAGGGGATGAATGGACAAGGGTGTGGAGGGAAGTTGCCCTGGACTTGATCCCCCATCACTGCCAGCTGGCCCACATTAAGTGTAGACTCCACTCCGTCCATGAAAGTGGTGTACAGAGAAGCTTCACCCCTCTTAGTGTGTGTGTGTGAGAAGGTCCAGACTTAATTGTTGAAAAAAGTGGGGACAGGTGGGAAAAAAGACGGAAGAGCTGGTGGGAAGGACTGGTGGAAAAGAGGGGAGGGGGGATTAAGGGGACCCTCTGGAATTCTTTTGGACTGCAAATCCCAAAATCCCCATCCCAGCTGGCCTGAGTTATTTGGGGAGCACAAGTCCCATACTGTGAATTTTCTGGGCTCTGGGTGGAAGGAAGGATGTTGTAGCTGAAATGTGGTCCAAAACGTTTCTGAATTTCGGATTCATTCCAGGAAGAGAGGAAGGAAGGATTCTTTGGGGGTATGCAGAGGGGGCTGTTGTACAAAAAAGGGGGGCCCTTTCCCGAACTCTGTTGCAAGGCACATTGGGGGGTGGAGGGCGAAGGAAACAAAGGAGTCCAGGTAGTGCGGTGGCCAGAATGTCCCACTAGATTTAGTGGGAGCTGGGTTAGCATTCCCGCTCGGCTCTAGAAATTCTCCGACGGCGACAGCCGGATGCTCGCTCCTTGAGCATCTCAAAAGCCACAAAAAGGGTCGCTCTAAATCAGGAGGGAGCCGAGGGCCGAGATCACCGACCCATGGGGTGAGGAGGAAAGGCACCAGGAAACGCGCAAGGGGCAGCCCCGGGGGAGCCCGGCGGAAAGCGGCGAGGCCAGCGGGCAGCGGGCGAGGATCCCCCCCATCCCACCCCCCGGGCTGCTGGAGGGGCTGGACAGGTCTCCGGGATGGGGGGCGTGGACGACGGGG